ACAAACCCTGTATGGTAGCTCTTCTTGAGACTAGGATGCTAATGCATGCCCCCCTTGTAAATGAATTCAACTTCTCTGAGCTCATAGAAGTTCCTGCAGAGGGCCAGTCAGGAGGCATGGCCATCCTCTATAACCACAATGTGGTGTCAGTGGAACACTTCACCAAAAATGATCAAGAAATTCATGCTCTTCTACAAGTACGACCTTTTAACTTTACATGGCTTTTTTCGGCTATATATGCTAGTACTCAAGTTCACCTTAGAGATATTATGTGGGATAACCTTAGAATTATCTCACGCAATTATAAGGGTCCTTAGATGTTAGGGGCGACTTGAATGACATTATTAGTAGTAACGAAAAGATAGGTGGAAGACCACTGAAAGATTCTAGGGCTTCTAAAATATGCGAAAACATCGACTACTATAACCTCATTGATGTTGGCTTCAAGGGTAGTAAGTTTACATGGTCTAACCATAGGAAAAAGAAAGGGCTAATAATGGAAAGATTAGATCGTGCTTTAGCTAATGATGATTGGCTAAAAAAATTCCAAATGTTACCATTACTCATCTTCCAAAAACCCACTCGGACCATAAGCCTATCCTAGTAAAGTTAAATAACATCACTCACCATTCTGAAAAAAATTTTCGTCTTGAGAATATTTGGTGTACCCACCCAAATTTTTGTAATATTGTTACAAACCAATGGAGGAATAAAGACTTAATGATGGCCACCAATTCCTTCACTGATCTTATTAAAAAATGGGGTAAGGAACATTTTGGGAATGTTTTTAAGGGAAGAAAAAAATCCTTCTAGCTAGATTAAATGGTATTCAAAATTCCCCTAACTATACCAATAGCTTCTTTCTTCAAGAGCTGGAGGGGAACCTTCTCAGGAACTACAATAATATCCTCAAGCTAGAAGAAGACTATTGGAAATTAAGGTCAAAAATTAGTTGGTTAAATGAGGGGGATGCTAACACTAGGTTTTTTCAAATTAGTGCCTCTAATAGGAAGAGACAAAATCATATTAGCTTCTTCTGGAACAGTGAAGGTTCATAGCTAGATAACCACCAAGATATCCTTAGTCATACCCTTAATCACTTTTCCTCGCTATTTACTGCTAGTCATATATATACTAACTGGACTCACATGTTACATGGTCCAACCAGTTTCCATAATATTGACCTATCAGTATTGGATAAACCCTTGCTAGATTGTGAAATTACTACTGCCATTTTCTCTTCTAAGCATTTTAAATCGCCGGGCCCTCATGGTTTACACCCTTTTTTTTGTCAAAGATATTGGAAAATTATAGGAGACTCTGTTAGAGCTTTCTGTCACAAAATCTTTAGGGACCATGCAATTCCTCCTGAAATTAATACTACCTACATATGCCTTATCCCTAAATTTCCCAACGCCAATAACCTCAATAACTTTAGGCCTATTAGTCTTTGCAACACTATCTACAAGACTATTACTAAATTAATTGCAAATAGGCTAAAGCCGTTACTCAATACTCTCATTAGCCCTATTCAATCTAGTTTCATAAAAAACAGAAGAGCTAGTGATAACGCCATTATTATCCAAGAACTCATTCACTTTTTAAAAAAAACAAAAGGAATTATTAGCAAAATGCTGGTCATTGATCTTGAAAAGGCCTTCGATAAGTTAGAATGGTCTTTCATATACAGGACTCTTTTATTCTTCAAAATCCCCCCAAATATATCCAAGCTAATTATGTCCTGTATAGCTACTTCATTCGCATCTATTCTGGTCAATGGGACCAAAACCAAGTTTTTTCAACCAAGTAGGGGTATCAGGCAGGGTGACCAATGTCCCCCTATATTTTTATTCTATGCATGGAAATGTTATCTAATTACATAAACCATCTAGTGGATATTAGGGCATGGGATCCTGTCTTGATGAGTAAAGATAGACCTCCTCTATCCCATCTTTTCTTCGTAGATGACTTGGTTCTTATTGGGAAAGCCAATAACAAAACCACCTCATCGATTAAGTTTTCCCTAAAGCAATCCTGTGACCTTTCTGGGCAGACAATAAACTTCAATAAATACATGATTATATTCTCAAAGAATTGTAGTAAAATGGCTAGATCAAATATCTCTCACACCCTTGGGATAAAGGAATATAATTCATTTGGAAAATACCTGGGTTTCCCCATTATTTATAATAACCCCAATCACAAAGATTACCAATTCATCATCGACACTATGAGAAGTAAGCTTCCAGGGTAGAAATGTGATAAGCTAAACCTGGCTGGTAGAAGCACCTTAATTACATCAAATCTATCAAGTCTACCAGCATATTACATGCAACACACTCTGCTCCCCCCTAAAACTCATAAGACAATTGACCAAATCCAAAAAAATTTTCTTTGGGGCACAACTGACCATAAAAAGAAGCTTCACCTAGTCAGTTGGGATATGGTTACTAGACCCAAACATGATGGTGGTTTAGGACTAAGGAAAGCTCGTTCAAAAAACCTAACCCTATTAGCTAGCCTAGCCTGGAGACTAGCTAATAACACCACTAATTTATGGGCAATTACTCTTCTTAAAAAGTACTCTCATAAGCCAAAAAGGTATGACTTGGTCAATACATAATTCCTCCGCTCTTAATCTATGGGAAAATAGATGGATCCCCAACTCAAACACCTTTAGAAGCTATGTCATTGGTCCCTTAACTAAAGAGGAAAAATCCCTTAGGATATGTGATGTTAGATCCAAAAATAGGTGGAACTTGGGCAAAATTTCCTTTGTTATCCCGGAGGATATAACAGCAAATATCCTGTCCACGTTCATCCAAATGATATCAATAAGGGCTTCATATCCTGGGATAGTAACCCTAATGGTCTTTTCATGACTAAATCTTGCTACGAACTAGTTGAAGGTAGATTCCACCCTGAGACTAACAACAAATGGGTATGGAACTTGTACTTCCCTAACAAGATTAAGTACTTCATGTGGCTTTGCAACCTCAATAGACTTCCATGCAGGAAATATTTATCCCATATAGGCTTGAACATAGATAAGAAGTGCACAATTTATCGTAAGGAATCAGAATCTCTCATGCACATTTTCCTCACTTGCCCCCAAGTCCATAACATATGGCACAAACTAGGCATTGATACTAGTAAATTCCAACCAATGTGTCAGAACTGGCTCCAATCTCTCCAGTTGGAAATTCCAATAATTCCTAGTAAAAACATAACCTGGAATACTTTGTTCCCTTTTGTAATTTGGAATATCTGGCTTACTAAGAATAACAACAATATTAATAACACTACTATCCCCTTGTCCCTTAGTAAGATCATTAATCAATCAATTGAATATACTCTTCTAACAGATAGAGAATCTAATTGGGATAGGAAAATCAACCTAAATATCTATTGGGTTAAACCTCATTCGGGCTGGTTTAAGCTCAATATAGATGGTGCTTTTAAAAAGAAAAAAGGTATTGGAGGCATTGGAGAGGCAATAAGGAATCAACATGGTGACTGGCTAATAGGCTTTGCGTCCAAAATTATCACAAAGAACCCAGTCCATGCTGAGCTAATGGCACTCTACCAAGGGCTCTGTATAGCAAACAAAAGGAAGCTATTTCCTTTGGAAATCGAGACTGATGCTACACAAGTAACCTCTTTTATTAATGATGGTTGTAAAACTTACGAATCTATTATTAATTCATGCAGGTTGCTTCTGGCACAAATGGACACGGTGGAAATGCATCACATCTTCAGACAGGGGAATGAAGTAGCCCATACCCTAGCAAAGCATGCGACGACCAACTTAATATTAAATAAATTAGAATTTTGGTTGTTTCCACCACCTTTTGTTCTGGCCAGGATGCTGGCAGACAAGGGTAGTGAGGGTGTTGTCAAAACTATTTCCTTTAGCTGTTGTAGAATCCTTGCTACCCTAGGTAATTCTCATGCCATGCATGGATTACCATCCATCAATGGTCCTCGGGATCATAACTACTGCTGTAATGTTTAATGTTTTGGTTTTAATAGAATAAATATCTTTTCCGTTCAAAAAAAAAATATCATCAATTCTACCATTTACTATTTTGACTAATAATCTAGAGTAAATGGTAAGTCACATCCTGTTATGATAAATTAAAGATTTTCTTACACGGTAATGCATGTCACCAACACTGACACTTCTCTAAAAAGTTTTAACGGGAAAATAGAGCGAACGTGTTCAAGAGGGGGTGTTGTAGGAAAATAGTCGAATTGTCACTATAACCATAACGTGAGTTGAACGCAAAAACTACGATGTGAACTGTGCACGATTACAGAGGCCGTCTCCTTAACTTTCATTTATGCAATCCAACTAATGCAAGCAGCCAAAGGAGGAGCAAGAGGGCCCTAAACAATTAATCGTTTTTATTTATGAAAAATGACAAGGAAAATTGTGAGTCCGTTAAACTTAGTAGGCGTTTGGACATAAAATTTGTAGTAAAATAGTATTTGAAGTTAAGTAGAAAAATGCTATTGAAATTTAAAATTATGTTTGGATATGCATTTCACTTGAAAAAATATTGCAGTTTTGTGAGTGAGAAAAATAATTTTTTGAAAATTTTAAAAAAGTTTGAAAAACTCATTTTCGAAAAATTTCTAAAAACTTGCAAAATTTCATGGACAATCACATTTTTGAATTTATTGTTTGAAAAAAAGAATTTTATTTTTATGGACAAACAAGGCCTTAGTTTTTCCAAAAAGCATATGCCATGTGGCAATGATACCAAGTCCGCCATTGATGACGGAGTCATGCCTTGTAATTCACTGCTGGAACTTTCTTCCCTTTCCTCCCTAGCCAATGGGGGTCAATAAACTTCATAAATTCCAAGTCTTCCTTGGGTCCCACCATGTGACTTCACAAAATTCCCGAAGTGTTGGGAGTGTGTAGCTTTACTTTGGTTGAACTAAACAGTATAAATAGGGCTTCCCATTTGTATAGTTTGCATCGACTAGTTCTTGGAAAACCACAGTAAAGCAGAGTAGAAAGCCAAAAAGGGCTTCCCATATATACTTAAGAATTTATAGTCTCATCAGTTGTTGCTAAAATTCTCACCATGGTTGCTTCATTCCACAGCTTTACTTTGGCTATTGTTGCTTGTGCACTTGCCTTGCTTGTGCAAGTCATTCTAGGTCAGTTGTCCGTGCAAAGAAAGCCGTTTTTTCCACAAAAATATTTATTTTTAACTATTTATATATGTAGTCAGGGACGGAACTAGAAGGTTACGTACGAGTTCAGCCGAACCTAATAGCTCACTACTAGAATCCCTGTAAAAAGCGACCAAAGATTAGCGATCAAATTTGGTCTGTCAAAAAAAGCGACCAAAGTTGGTCGCCAAACTGCCGAAAATAATAAAAAAAACTATTTGAAATACTTTAGCGACCAAAGTTGGACGCTATTTGGTCGCAAATTTAGTCAAACTGTTGACTGGACTGGTCAGACTTGTTTGGTCAAAGATATACTGAGATTAGCGACCAATGTTGGTCGCTTAAGCGGGACCCACATAAATTTTTTTAATAATTTTATTATTATTTTATAAAACTTATAAAATATAAATATATATAATTTAAAACTTGGGACCAAAGTTGGTCGCTAACTGAAGGATAAGTTGATAGCGACCAACATTGGTCGCTAAAGCGGGACCCAGTTATTATATTTTAATAAACATATATATATATATATTTAAAGTAAATTATAAAATATAAATAAATATAATTCAAAAGTTAGCGACCAAAGTTGGTCGCTTAACCAATAGAGACCAATGTTGGTCGCAAATGTGGGACCCAGTTCTAACATTTAACAATTTTTATTATTAATTTAAATATCATATAAAATATAAATAAATCTGATTAAAATTTAGTGACCAAACTTGGTCGCTAAATTAAATTCATGTACAGTTAGTGACTAACTTTGGTCGCTAAATTAAATTCATTTACAGTTAGCGACCAAAGTTGGTCTCTATATGGTCAAAATTAAAAATCACTTTTATATTTACTATGTAAATAATATATAGTAAATAATATAAATGTAAGTCGTTAATACTTTTGTAATACAAGGGATGAATAGTACTACGAAGTGGGCGTGTGTGTCTATATATATAATATATATATATATACTTACGCTATATTATGCACTAAGTATAAGTGTATTAGGTAATAGCGTATCGAATATAGATTCAGACAATGATTTGACTGACAAATATCACCAACATCCCATTAAGCTTGTACAGATCAGACTTGGAAGAAAGTTGAGAACAAAACTTCCTATAATCTTTGTCATCGTAGAGTCTTATGATACCCGTTTTATGGGAACTGCCATGACCCACGGAAAACATTCCATCACCATCAACCTTGTCACTATCAATTAAACTTCTTTTCTTCTTGGAAAATGAAGTAGAGAATTCCTCTATAATCTTTCTTTTATCTACTTAGAAAATGTTAAAATTCCTGCCTACACCATCACTATTTGAAGCACATGTCATTGCATTCTCATCATCATTGTCGCTAACGAGAACAACAATTGATCAAAAGACACACCCTGTCAGCTACTGTATCCAAGTTATTCTCTGTATCCAAGTTCATCCCGAGGATAATCACCAAAGCCACCAGACAGCTTTATGATGCCAATGAAGCAAGATCATGAGTTTATTCAATAAAACTCGTATTGTAAAGAAGAAGAAAGAGACTGATTCAGAAAGGTGGGTCGAGGGTCGAGCCTCGACTATACATGTACGTTTTTTACTTTTCATTAAGTATTTATTTACTTTTATATAAATTTTGAAATACTAATTTAATATAATTTTTCTTATAGGTTCGCTTCACACCTGATGTGGAGGAATTCATACGCAGTCAGCCACCTAATGAGTCGGGCGAGGCAATCCAACATTCGGGTGAGGATGTTGAAAGAACACTCCTTGAGTACTTTATATACTTTGAACTAGACAATAGAACTAGCTTTCGAATGGGCTTGTAATAAGCGTTAACTTAGTTTTGTTAGCTTAATGTGTTAGTTCTATTGAACTTTATACTTCGTTGGTTTTAATGTTGTTGTTGTTGTTGTTGTTGTATTTGTTGTTGTGTTGTTGTTGGTATTGTTGTTGTTGTTGCTTGTAATAGGGATTTGGTATGCTGGCAGGTGGTGTAGCTGCCAAAACAGGCAGTTTCTCCCAAAATAATACCCAGAAAAGCGACCAACTTTGGTCTCTTTTTGGTCGCTTGTCATTTAAAAAAAATAATTTGACGGGCAATAGCGACCAAAGTTGGTCTCTTTTTACCCAGATTTCTTAAAAAGCGACCAACCTTGGTCGCTATTCCATTAAAAAAAATTAAATTCTTGACATTAGCGACCCACTTTTGGTCGCTTATTTTTAAAAAAAATTAAAAAAATAGCGACCAATCTTGGTCTCCATTTTCCAGATTTTAAAATATAATATTTGGATTAGAGACCAAAGTTGGTCGCTGTTTTATGAATAATAATAAATCAATAAATAATATATTTTACATTTAGAGACCAACTTTGGTCGCCAAATTTATATTATTAAAATAATAAAGCGACCAAAGATGGTCGCTATAGTCAATACCCGGAATATTTGGTCCCTAAAGTGAAGGGACCAGCAATATAGCGACCAGGCATGTTTGGTCGCTTTTTGGTCGCTTTTGGGCCTATAAGCGACCAACTTTGGTCGCTTTTTGTGGTCGCTTTTTACCGGATTTCTAGTAGTGGCTCTAGTTCAAATTATGTTATTAAAAATTTACTAATATGTAGAAAAATTAAATTCAAAGTTCAGTTACTAACAACAGATGTCACTATATTAGAATTAGAACCTATAAAGTTCAAATCCTTATCTTTATAGTTGTAATCAATGTTTTTCTATAATCTTTTGAAATACTAAACATGAGTATTTTATTGCAAAGCGTGCTCTGTAGGGAGCATAACATTTTTTCTAGAATCTTTTAAGTTACATTACGATTAAATTAAATATTGTGTGATAATATATATGCAGAGAGCATAACATGCGAGAATCTAAACAAGGACTCATGCGCTTTTGCGATATCAAGTACTGGGAAGCGTTGTGTGTTAGAGAAACATCTTAGAAGGAGTGGCGAAGAAGTATATACATGTAAGACGTCGGAAATTGAGGCTGATAAGCTCAAAGACTGGATTGAAACCGACCAGTGTATTCAGGCTTGCGGTGTTGATAGGAATACCCTCGGAATTTCTTCTGATTCTCTCCTCGAGTGCCACTTTACCCAGAAGCTGTGCTCCCCTCAATGCTACAAACATTGCCCTAATATTGTTGATCTCTACTTCAACCTTGCTGCTGGCGAAGGTACTTGTAAAAATTGAAATATTTATTTAATTGTAAATACTAGTTCATATAGGAGACTTACCGGTTTCTCCTTGCGGAAGCAGATCTGAGCAACCACGGTTTGAGTTACCGGTCGTTAAGAATCTTCATAAGAGGGATGAATTGCCTTGTTTCCAAAGCTTAAAGATACTCTCTAAGATGCATAACTTGTTCTCTCATTGCAAACACTAACCGTCATATCTTAGTAGAAAAATAACATGTCTTTTCTAACACCATATATAATGGTGTATTTATATGTTGTAAGTAGATTTAATTAGGAGAAGACAAGCTAATATATCAATCGGTTATATAGCACCCCTTATGTGTGGACCTGACCCAATAATATTTTTCAACATAATAAACTAAAATGAATAAATATGTATAATCTTTCTCTGATTAACAGTTAGAGATGAATCATAAAATAGGAAACGCAAAATCAGTTTTGCCATCTCTTAATCATTTGTATGCGCTTGATTTGGCAGGTGTATATCTTCCCAGGTTGTGTGAAGAACAACGGGGAAATGCACGCCGTGGAATGGCGGAGATCAAAAGCTCGGGAATAGTTGCACCAGCACCGGAATCTGGAGTCAAGCCCGTCAATTTCATGATTACTGATCACGCCCAACTACGTCTTATAAAAAGGACTCTGCGGACGTTGCAAATATAACCCGAGTATTACGCCCAGGGTCGAATCCACGGAGAGTTAACCTATCAACCACTATCTTCAGACCCACTAATTCTTCAGAACCAGCTTTCCAAATATTCAAATCTCAGTTGAATGTTCTTTAACAACTATGCTTGCAAGTAACTAACTAGCTGTAAACTAAACTAATAAGGTTGTAAACAATTATGATAAAAAGCTAAGGTAATGATTTTCCCTATTGATGGAATCCCTTCTGTTTATGCTCATACAAATTTACCAACACATCTCTATCAATCATGAACGCTAATCTTACCGTAAATCTCTCCCGAGTAATCACTGTAATTTACTATTGCACTCTCCCGAGATACACTAGCTTACTTTATTTAGCACGATTCACTTTAGATTACACCAAAGGCTTCGTTATCCCTAATCCCGCCTTCAAACCCGCAATTATAGATTCCTCTAATAATCTAGGAGTGGTGTTGTTCAACAATACCCTAAATATGCACTCTTTTTCAAGTTATGCACACTAAATAGGCACAGCTAATTGAGGATCCTGTCAATTAACTACAACAAACACGAAGTTGAACAAATAGAGATTAAACTAGCAACTTGTGTTCACATAAACAAGAAGTTCATCACCCAATAGGTTCCATCAAAACCTTAGACAAGGAATTTAGCTACTCATGGCTATGGGAGAATAAACTAAGATAGAATTCATCATAAAAATCAAAAGTAAAGAAGAAAGATGTTTGGAGTATTCTCTCACAATGGTTTTCCTTGCTAAGAAACCCTAAAAATCAATACATGCCTCTCTTGGGCGAAGTCTAATGTTTTAAATAGGGTTTAGGTCTAAAAATCCCGTGTTTTACACTTTAGTCCCTGAAGTTTTCTGCTTCCGCCGCGGTCGCAGTCAAACCGCGGCCAAAAGCCTTCTCTGAATCTGAATTTATCCGCAGCTATCTTCCACCGCGGTTCTACCGCGGTCGCGGTGGAACCGCGGTCAACCTAGTCCTCTGAATCTTCAGGCCTGTTTTGCGTGGTTTACTTGGGGAATTTCACAGTTGGCCTCTTTTCTCCAATTTTTGACTCCAAAACTGCTCCTTAGTCTTCCTTATACATATAACACCTGCAAATCATGAAAAGCACTAATAAGAGCATTTTGTTATTACTTTTATCATCAAAACTATACAAGAAGGTGGTTATTTAAGGCGTGATTATAGTTAAATTCACCTATTATCATCACCCCACACTTAAACCTTTGCTCGTCCTCGAGCAAACTAAACCACACTTCTAGGCCTAACTGTTCAATGCATTGCCCCAATTTATGTCACACCTGCTATTATCAATGATCGACCCAAGCAGTGCATAATCATATCTCAAATGCAGACTCTCATGCCAAGACACACTTGTGCTCACTCTAATTACTCTAACAGAATTGAAGACTCACTTTTTCTTCCTGAGTCACATGCCCTCACATAAACAAAATCTGAGAGAAGTTCCACACACATAAAATTCAACGATAAGGAACCATATATAGAAAGAATTCACTCACTCTCATCAAAGAGCATTCACATGCCAACGGATACACCATAAGCTTGCCCCTAGTGTAATACTCTACTAATCGAGCCATTCAGTCAAAGATCAAGAGGTCTTTATAGGTTGTAATGTAGGCTATCGGAAGGGTAGGATATATTTGGATATAGTGACTAACCTCCCTAAGCACTTTTAATACACAATTCTTTTTATTTTACTTTTATGCTCAACCCAATCATTACTCCACATTTTGTTTCACTTGTGACCCCCACTTTTCGTTAGGTACAACTGGCTGCTTTTTTTTTTCAGATTTATTGTACACTACCAGTTCACCAATCAGAACCTTCATTCTTGATTCCCTTTTTTCACTAACTCTCTCCCACCCCACACTTTGACTTTTGTATATTCTTTAGTGATTCAAGTGCTTCTAGGAGGTAAAGGTTCAAACAATTAAGCTTATTCAAACACAGCGATTTAGATCATTATAGGGTTATCAAAGAACAGGCTTCAGGCTCAACGGGGTTTACTATGGTAATATGCACAGGTGGATTCTCAAGTATAAAGGGTTGCACAAAGAAATGCCTCAATCATCTCTAAAACCAAACGATTTCTATTTCGCTTTGCACACACACAGGGCAAGTTCTAGGTATCATATGCAAGCATAGGATGCAAGTAACAACTCACACACACTTAGCATGTACCTCATTCCGAATCAGTTCATCAACACAATCATACGAGTGTTCAAGCAAGACAATATGTGCAAAATTAAGGCATATAGTATGAGTCCACAAACAAGCTTAGACGTCCACTCTCAAGTTCTTTTCTTTGCAAGTGTGCACATTTGGGGTTACATTCTGACCTTCACCCATCTAATCCTAAAACTACAAAAGAAAAATCTACCTAACCCGGTTCAAGAAAAACCCTTGGAAAAGAACCGTGGTCCAAATAAAAACCAAGGGAGAGGTACTACACTACCTAAAAGAAGAAAATAAAATAGAAAAAATTCTACATGGACTACTTCACTCAAGAGTACTGTCCACATAGTCCGTCATCAGGAAGAGTCCTCTACAAGTTATTTTTTGTTTTTTTTTTTTATATCTGACTTTGACCCTCAAGAGACCCGTCAACAAGTGTCCGTCGTTGGGCCAAGTCAGCTACTCCTAATATAACACACTCACATATATACAACACATCACTCTAATGTTACAGCACAACAACATTTATATACAATCCAATATACAGTTAGAGCAAGTCTCCCACCCCACACTTAAAATCATGGCATGTCCCTATGTCATATCAAGAAAGTAAAGAGCAGAAGAGTGAGAAGACTTCCCTGAGACTAAATCCGAGTCGGAGACGGTGCTCGGGTCTACATGGCAGGCCCTCCCCAATGCGCGTAGCCAAGCCATAAACCGGCTCTCAGATCTAGCCTGCCTCTGTGACATGGCGTCCATCCGTGTGTGTAGACCATCCACCGAGGTGCGGAGATCCGCGACCTCTTCCTCTAAGGAGCGCAGCATAGGCCGGGAGGACTGTGAGCGTGATAGACCTGCTCTAGAATGGGGGCGCCGAGAGGGCCCGGCACTGTCAACAGACCTCCTGGACGGTGCAACAGGGACCGGATCATCCTCCTCATCATCAATCTCAATTGTAGTGCGGGTGCCCCTGCCCACTCTGATGCTAGAAGCTTTGAAAGCTGCTTTGGGAGGCAAATCGCCATCAGCAGGGTTGGTAGGGGTGTTTCTCATCAAGCACAATGTGGTCACCAAGGAAGGGAAATAGAATCCCTTTGTCAGCATCGGGCCCCGTAAGACCATTTCATCTCCAATTACCCGTGCCGCATCAAAATCCTTCCCTGTCACAAAGCACCAAGTCAACAGTGCCCTATTGAAGTTCACGTCCGTGGTATTGCTAGAAGGCAGGAACCTGCTACAGATAACAGTCAACCAACACTTGGCCAGGTGAGTGAAGGAGTTAGAGTTGAGGGTTATTTGGTCACGTATCCATATGGGCTGCCCCCCGTGCAAAGTACATCCGTCATGACCTCCCATGTCACCCCTGGCCTGTCATGGTAATAGTCGACGTCACTGGTGAACGGAGGAAGCCGCAACACCCGGCGAATTGTTTGAATTTGAGCACTGAGCACCATACCCCGAACAATCACCTCCCTACCCAAATTCAAAGGGCAGTTGGCATAAAATTCACGAACCAACATCTCGTTAACTGGTGCAGGGTCAGCAAATAGGAACTCCATTTCCCGCCTCCGTATCTCTTCATACATCTCCACTTTTTCGGCTCGGAGGGCTGCCCGATCAATCGGGATTTCATGGATGAACGTTTTTGTAGCCTTGGCATTGAAGTCATCCTCGGCCAGTTCCGATTGGAATCTGGACTCATCGTAAGCAGGTCATTGGGATGTGCCTCCAGAGCGCCTTTGCCTTTTGGGAGCCATTGATCCTGCAAATAATCAAACAAACCATCAACAAATGCCCTAGCTAGTGCCAATAAGATGGTTACTCAGACTTCACCACCCAATGACACCAAATATAGCTCCTTACTTCACTCATAACAACCCCCACAATAGCTCTATAATTTTTTTACCACTTCCGGTAAAATACACCCCACACTTATTCCATTCAATGGTACCCATGACATACAAAACCACCATATAACAAATACCACTCTACAACAAATATCACCATACCAACAAAAACCACTCTACAACAAATATCACCATACCAACAATCAACTACACAACAAGAACCATCAACTACAACATCCCAAACCTAGGTTGGCTTAAACACCCCAAAAATATACAACTTAGTGCCACAATTTTCGGCCAACACATGACTCAATCCATACTACACCACAAAAATCTAATTTTAGGCCTCCAAACCACCAAAACAACTTCACAATTAATTAACAATGGAGACCCAATCAATTTGGCACCTAACAACCTCATCAACATCAACTACAACAACTACAACAATGGCAAGCATACAAGAAAGCAAGCAAAAGTAAAAAAAATGCAAATTAATACACTAATCCTAACTAGGGTTTAAACAAAATTACTAATCTAACAATTACACTACTTAGAAGAGAAAGAAATAGAGAGGGAGAAGATTAACTTACTTAAGTTGAAGAGGGAAGGGAATGGAGGTGTGGTAATAGGGGTTTTTGGAAGAAAGGTTGGGAATGGAGGTTTGGGGAAGAAGAAGAAGGAGGAGTTTTGTTGAAGAGAGAGAGAGAAAGAGTGGGATGGGGGTTGGGGCGGAATTATTGGAGAGTAGATAAGAGGGGGGTTTTGAGTGTGTTAAGAAAAAGGAAAAAGAAAAAAAAAATGGTACTTACCTGGCCGCGTCTGTATCTGCCGCGGTCGCGGTAGAACCGCGGCAGTGAGTTTCCGCGAGGCCTTTTGACCGCGGTTTCACCACGGTCGCGGTGGAACCG